AATTTAGACTGAGAAAGGTTTTGGTAGCCTTACCCGCCCGCCCCCGAGAAAACCCTGAGGCGTTGGGACAGGCGCCCTCCCAGTACGAATGAAGGTCACCGGAGAGTAAGACCCACTGATTTCATTGGGATTCCTCCTCTGAGTAAAACGTGGGTAGATGCAAACCGTGCGTCTGGCGCAGACGAAATCTGAATTCGGTATTGTATAAACCTGCGGGAGAGCAGCGGGAAATGGACTGCGTTTCCCCCGCTGCTTCTTTTGGGACAGTCCGCTGTCTCCGCGCTGGCTCGCCAGCAAGTCGGCTGAGGGTCCCCTCCGCGACGGAGATCCGGGACATCCGAGCCAGCGGCTGGCTAGGAATGCGCAAACGACGAAGGCCGCGATGCAGACGAAGTGGATGGCGTGGGGTCCCCGCGCAGATGTCCTTACGGTGCAGTCCGTGTCTGCCCGGGGCCCGTGGCTCTGTCAGCCCTGTCAGTGAGCGCAGGAGCCCTCTTCCAGCTGGAAGACGCTCCTGCCGAAACCCGCGAGGCTTGGCTGGGATCGGGCCACGAGCCCCGCGGCTTTCAGGAGAGGCTCTTGGGGGGAGAGGTAAATACGCGGAATAGGTAGACAAGCACCGGATCCGGCTGCCTCTTTCCGCGCCAGACCCGCGGAAACGCTCTTCCTCTTTACTCGTATGCAGCGCGGTGACTTTCAATAAGATTGACCTAATTTATACGTGGAAGTTGATGCGGTGGGGGGGGGGGATCTGAAAAGAGCCTCTTTTTGTCTGGATCGGGGCCATCTGTCGATGCGTTTATTTCCTGCTGAAAAATATAGAAGAGCAACTTAAATCACACTGCAGTCCTAAAAGCGCTTACCTGCGAATAATCCTCACTGAATTCAATGGGGTTTATTTCTGGGTAGACCGGCCTAGGTTTGCAAGGTGGATTTTGGAAATCCGATAGTTCGCTACCACCTTTTCCCCCATCTTCGCCGCGCGTCTCACACCGCCCACTCCGGTAGGTCTGGACGCCGAGTTTGAGAACGGAAGCCCCTTTCCCGTGGAAATCGTGCCCCCTCTTCGCCCTCCTGGCAAATGGCAGCGCGAGCCTTCTGGAAAGCTTCGCCTAAATTCAGGAAATCTATTCCGTTCCAACTTTACAGTAACGGGACGGGGGGGGGGGGGGGGGGGGGGGGGGTCGGGGTCGGGAGTCTGATCAGCTTTAATCCAGAGTGTATCTTCGGTTGGTAAGGGTACGTCTTTTGCTTCGATTCTGCAGCTGTGCCGTCCAGGCTGCGGGGCGCAGCCCCCCCCCCTCCGCCCCGCCCCGAGACAAACCCGAGCGCCTTCGTCAACGTGGTGATCTCCAGATGATAGGAACTGTGGTCCAACTCATCCGGGGGCACCAGGTTGGGGAAGGCTGGAATATACGGTGGGCTGCAGCGGGTTGTATTCTGCGTGAGTCTGGCTTGAGCCCCGCTCATTTCAGCGGGTCTGCTCGAAGGACTAACGCTGGAGATGACCCATGGAAAGGAACGGAAGCGAGGATGCTTCGCAGGCGGCCTGAGACTGCATCGGACGGCGGAGCCCGGAACGCCGCCGCGCGCCTCGATTCGTTTTCCGCGTACGCCCAGGGCGCAATCCCAGGCGCGTCTGCTCTGGAAGACGCCTCCGAGGGGCTTGCTCCCAGGGAAGCGTGCGCGGGATCGTGGCCTCCGTCCGGGAAAAGGCTCTGCTAGCGGGGCATCGCTGCGAGCCGGCGCTGCTCGGAGAGAACCGGTTTCACGCCGGCAAGGACGGGCACGGGATGCGGCGGCTTTCGGCGGCGAGAAGCGCTTTGGGGAGCAGCTGAGGATGCGCGGCCCCTGCAAAAGCTGCGCGGGGAGGGGCTGTTTTATTTTAAGTGTCGGCTGACCAGTTGTTCAATAATTCCCCGCTTAGCTCTGGTTGAACATGGCGGAAAAGCCCTCAAATTCGCGAAGAGGTTACGGCTGAGTGGCGGCCGGGTGGGTTGCGCCGCAGTGACCTCTCTCTCTCTCTCTCTCTACTCCTCGCTTCCTTCAAACTCCTCCTCAAAAGCCACATTTTCTCCCCAAATCTCTGCTTAACCCTTCCCTTTCCAGAAGGGACGAGGCCTAATTCTGCTGGGACTTGTCAGGGCTTTTTTGAAGGCCCTCCCTTGCCACGGGAGTGAGGGGAATAAATGGATTGTATGTTCGTCGGGGCATCGTATGCGGCGATTCTGCAAAGCGCTGGGTCACTTAATCGATTCGTTGCCTGATGCATGATTTTAATTTATTGTGTTCGCCTTGGAGACTAAGAGAAGCCTTCCTAGCCCAGCGTGCTGCAAAGGGTCGGTTGCCCCCGGGGTCCCTAAGAAGCCCCTATCCTGAAACCCGGTCGACAGTCCCAGAGCAGGCCGGCAGTGGGAAACCGTGGCCCAAGGCCGGGCCCTGCTTCCCGAGGGCAAGAGGCAGGGATAGGGTGGCGGGAACGAACCCGACCGTTTCAGAGGAACGAGGCATATCCATGGAGGAGGAGATCCAGAGAAGTTCGGCGCGCTCGCTTTCGGCATCTCCAGCTCCCTTGGTCAGGCAAGGTGTAACGCAGCCCTGATGAAGAGATCTGTCGGTCTCCGACGTTTGCGGGCTTCGCGTGCCTTAGCTCAGTCAAGCGATATTTACACCAGTCCGAAAGAGTCTGGAATTAGTTGTGGGGCGGGGGAGGCGTGAAGCAAGGGCCGCGACTCTCCATTCTTGCATGCGCGGGACTCCCGAACAGATCAGTCGCTTGACAAGCCGCACTTCTGAAACGACAGCCGGTGGGGTTGGTTTGAACCGCTTTCTCCCAACTTGGCACCCTGCAAATGGCTCGGACAACATCGCCCATCATCCCCAGCCTGGAGAGCGCCACCTTGGAGGAAGGCTGGGCCGGAGGGTTTCCCCCGCTTGGAATCCCGCCTGATTTGGGGCCCAAATCTGCGCTTGCATGCCTTCGTTCCCTAGGCCAGCGACTCGGACATCAAGCGCTCCGAGGGTTCCCGAGGGCAGCGGCCGGGAGCGCCTGCGCTCCTGCCCCGCTTGTCACGGCAAAAAGCAGCTTCGAGGTGCGGGGAGCGATTCGGCGAAGCCCCCAAAGCCGTCCCGACCGCCCCCATCGCGCCCTGCCTCTTTGGAGGCCAGGCCGGGGGATTCCCGCCCCGGCTTGCGCTTGCTGCGGCCGGGCGAGGACAGCGCTCCCGGCGACCTCATTCCGCGGGCGCTGCAGCGAGAGCCGGTGGAAGGCGCTTGCGGCGACAGGTGGCGGGGCTGCAGACCTCAGGCACGAAAAAGCGCGCTCGGCCATATTCTCGGCTGCACCCCTGGGGCTTTTAAAAACATTCCGCGCCAACCCCAAACCCTCCAGAACAACCACTTCTGTTCGTTGCTCCGTTGGGGGCAGGTCTGGAAGCAGCGGGGTTTCAACCGGAGGCCGGCCCCGCGGAAAACATGCTTTTAGGCGCGGGCCAGTGCGGCCAGCTGCGATGCCCTCGAGCAAAGCCGCGCAGGCCGCTGAGGAATCCCGGCGCGTCCCGGGGGACCCTCGAATAAGCGTGCATCGGAGCGCAGCCCGAGCCGGACGCGGGCCCGCACCCCGCCCTGCGCCCGCAGAGGAGCGGGAGCCGCTGGGGAGTCCAAACGGCGGGCGCCCCCCTCCCGGCTCACGGCGCCGCCCCGCTTCGCGTCCACGCCCGTGGCATTTCGCGGCGCTTCTCATTCCCGGGGTGGACGCCATTCCCGCGGCTTGTCCGTCCAGCCGCCCCCCAGGCTGCAGATCAGCTGGGCGGCTGCAGCGGATCCGGCCACTTGGCTGGCGAAAGCGTGACGGGCCTCCACACAGCAGCGCCTTCTCCGAGGGCTACACGTGTTTTCCTCCCCGGGAGAAAGGCGAGCGGCGGCGGCGGCCGCCTAGGGAGGGGGCGAGGCCCCGGACCCCGCCCTCTTCCTGCGCCCCGCCCCCTTCCGCTGTCATTCTCTCACATTTTGCCTCGCCTCGCTCCTCCGATTGGCTCCCCCCGCTGCCAGTCCGCGGCGGGGGCCGCTCCCCCGTCTGCCTATTAAGTAAATAAAGTCAAAAAAACTCCGCCGTATATAACCATTGACACTTTTGAGCGGTTTCAGAAGCGCAGAGAGAGGGCGGCTGGAGGAGGGGGAGAAGTTGCCGGGCGCAGCAGGAAGCGGAGGGGAGCGCGCTCGCTCGCTCGCTCGCTCGCCGCCCCCAGAGACGACGGGAGCCGCGGGGCGCGCTCGGGCCGGCGCTGGATTGTGCGGGGCGAGCCCCGTCGCGGTGGGGCCGCGCGGGACCCGGCGGAGCGGCGCTGCGGCGCTAGATGCGGCGTTTATTTGTGTCTGATCCGAGTTTATTTTGACTGGGCGAAGAGGCCGCGACAGGGAAGTCGGCCCAGGGAGCCGCGCTGGGCTTGCGTGCGGGAGGCACCGGCCAGGAGGCGGCTCGCCCGCGCCCTCCTCGCGCTTTTCTCGCCGCCCACGGGCACCGACTCGGCGCGCACGGAAAGCGGCGCTGCGGCTAGGACTGGAGCGGACGGCGTGGGCTGGGGGCGTCCGCGGCGTCCGGAGCGGATTTCTCGACCCCGGGGGAGCCACGCGAGAGGGCGACGTCGCCTGCCGCCGACCAGGGAGGACCGGCGAGCAGGAGGGAAAGAGGAGCGCGTCCCTCGGAGAAAGTCGTGGCTTTGCAGCGGAGTTGCGCCGTCGGAGAGACTTGCCGGAGAGGCCGGTGCTGGCGCCCCGAGCGGCGGCTGTAGCAGCAGCGCCGGCGCCGGCGTCGGAGGGCCCTCGCGGGGGCTCCCCATTCCCGAGCGCCCCCGGGGGCCGCGTTCCCGCCGCACGCCTGGCTTTGGAGAGGGCAGCCGTGCGCTCTTGGGCACCTGGCCGTGTGCGCCCGGCCCTCTCGCCTCTCCGCCGCCTCCTCCTCCCACCCCTAACGCCCGCTGTTGTGATGCGTATTCCCGTAGACCCCAGCACCAGCAGGCGCTTCACACCTCCCTCCACGGCCTTCCCCTGCGGTAAGATGGGAGAGAACAGCGGCGCCCTCGGCGCGCCGGCCCCGGGAACTCGAAGCCGGCCCGAGGTGCGCTCCGTGGTGGACGTCCTGGCCGATCACCCGGGCGAGCTGGTGAGGACCGACAGCCCCAACTTCTTGTGCTCGGTGCTGCCTTCCCACTGGAGATGCAACAAGACCCTCCCCGTCGCCTTCAAGGTAAGCCGAGTCAGGGCAAGGGAGGGGGCGGCGGAGTGGGGTGGGGGTGTGGGTGGGGAGAAGGGGGAGGGCGGGGGGCGGCGGGGAGGAGAGTTGCACAGATGTTTCCTGCCCAGCGGGCTTCCCAAGCGCCCAGGAGAACTAGCGGTTTAACGGAAAAGGCAACTGGACGGGCTGGGAGGGGAGCAGGCGGCCTCCGAAGCCGAGAGGACTCCCCCAAGGTTTCTCCCTGCAGGGTGCGAGGCGCTGTCTAGTCCAGCCTTGCTCAACCTGGTGGCCTTCCCCAGCCAGCCCGCCGCCTCTGGGTGATGGGAGTTGTAGTCCAACGCCTCTAGAAGGCCTCCAGGTTGGGCGAGGCTGGGCTAGGGACATCCTAAACAAGGCTGTCCCTGCCTGGTTCATTTCGGGAGCTGCAACAGCGCTCTTTAATCTTCGCCCGTGATGCATCCTAAAGGGGAAAAATGGATCGCAGTTTAAGGAGCTGCAGCCCTGCCGGCCTGGCTGTATCCGTCCCCCTTGAACTCTTGGCACTTTCCTTCGGAGAGAGCACCCACCTCCGATTTGTCGCTTGCTTTCGAGGGAAGCACGCAGGGGCTGCAGTCTTACGCGCGCGCACTCTCTCACACTCGCACTCTCTCTCACACACAGCAGGGAGTGAGTCCTATTGAACACAGCGAGGCTTCCGTGTAAACATGCACGACTCCTCCGGAGTAAAGGGCTGTGGTTAATTTGCGGTGTTGGGAGCCAAAGGAACCCACATCGCGCAGTCCTGCTGGCCAATGATTGTAGGAAAGAAAGAGAAGTCCTGGGGCAGAGCAGTCCTGTGCCCGTCTCCTCAAAAGGAAGCCCCACTGAACTTATTCCCATGTAAGTGAGCATAGGATTGCAACCTGCAGAAGGCGACTGCCAGAATTTTGATGTCCAGAGATGCTTCCGTATTTCAGATTTTCTTTGCCCTCGTCTGCTTGTTCCCATATCCAAAAAAAATTGCAGGACTTCTGCAATATCTCCCTGCGTCAGGATTGCGCTCCAGGCAACTTATAATTAAAAACATATACAGTTGGATAATAAATAATAATGATAAATGTTACGGAATAAAGCGCATCAGCACCAGAGAGCGGGCCTGGGGGAGTCGTTAAAAGCCAATCCCCTGCAAACTTGGACCGTTGCGGGCGCCTTTGTGCGTCGCCTATTTTATAGCCCCGACCTCCCCAGAATGTCGCCCCCGCCGCTCCGCCGAGCTCCCAAATAAACAAGGAAGGAGGGAAACGGCAGGCACCGGCTGGGCTCCTTGCTCTGGCCTCTCCGAATTCTGGCTGGCGTGTGCGTGTGAGAGCGAGCGCACGCGTGCAAGAGGAGGTTTTCTCGAGGTTTTTCTATGTCATAGAAAGCGGAAGAAAGTCCCCTCCCCTCCGCCCCCAAAGCTGCCCAGTTCGATTTAAAGGCGACGAAAGGGGAGAGGGTGGGCCAAGAGGAAATGCCGGCCCGACCCGTTCCAGTGGATCCTTTCTTCCGTTTTCAATACGGGCATCCACATTATCTGAGGGACACCCCTCCACACACACACACGCACACGCAGAGCGCGTCGGAAACGTGCTTTGGGCCAGGATGGAGAACCGCCCCCAAGCGCCCTAGTGCGGCGAAGCAGGAGTCACTCAGAGGGACCTCCAGGGAGCAAGTCATCGTGTGCCCCCCCATCCCATCCCACCTCACGCCGCCGCCGCCGCCCCATTCCCGTAGAGATAACAGCTCCGGGCAAGCGCGCTTCTGTCAAAAGCAGCCCTGTTCCGTTCGTTGCCCATGTCCGTTCTGCGCGATCCTTTGCATACCGAGGCAGCAAAAAAGCCCTACAGTTCCCCGCGTGCCCCCGCAGGCACAGCTCAAAGGGTTATCCACTCACCGCCCCAAAGCCACCGGGCCTCTTGGCGTCCTTTCGCGGCATCCGTGAATCCCGCGCCACTTTCTCGGCGCACCACCGCTGACTTCAGCTTGCCGTGCGAGGAGAGAAAGAGCGCTGTCGCCTGTTCTGGTTTCCCAAGCGTCTAGCCCTCATGCTCGCCCGCTTTCGTTTCTTGAAACAAGCAGCAGCAACATGGACGCCAACGATCGCGCTGCAGGCTTGCGCGGACGTCAGCTCCGCCGAGCGCAGGGGAATTTACGCCCAGGAAACGGTGCCTGTGCGGGGGTTGCCTTCGCACGTTCAAGCCCGCAGCTGTGTGGACGAGCTGCGGTCCCGGAGGAGCCACCGCGACACGCACGGGCGGCGGAGCCCTCAGCGGCCCAGCCGCACTCCGAGGCGGGTGGCAGCCGCTGGCATTAACCCTGTGGATGAGCACGATGTATCGGCCCGAGTGAGATTCCGCGCACCGTTGGCGTGTGCGGCCGGAGCGCTAAAGTGGCAGGGCCTCCCCTGCTCTCTCCGGGCGCGCCTGTGGATAAAAGCAAGGCCAGGAGCTCTCCCTCTCCCGGCTGAGCGAAGCGCGCAGCCTCCTCGGGCAGGTGTCCGCCACCCGCCTGCACCAAACGGGAAAGCTGCACGTCCCGGAACGAAGCCACCCTAAATTGTCATCCCACAGGAAAAGCAGGCAAGCCCTCCCGCCCCAGAAGGTGCTGGGCCACTCTTGGTGGGCAGCACGACCCGCCGGACTCGGCTCCGCAGGCCAAGGGCGTCCCCGTGCGCCTCCGAGACTGCCCTCTCGGCTCGCTGGGCTGTGCTTTCCCTGGCCAGTGCAGAGGCCTCCCCCTCTGGGGAGATCCCGGCTGCTCGCTTGTCCGTCCCCGCAGCAGCCGCCCCGGGCCTCCGGGGGCGTGGGGCGAAGCCCTCCTTCCCTGAAGCGAGGTTTCCGCGGTGCTCCCCGCGGGCTGCCCGCCTCTTCCCCGGGCGGTTCATTCATTCGGCCCGCAGCGCTCGGGAAGCGCTTTGCAGGTTATCGTCTAATGAACGGGGATTTCGGGAGGAGGCAACACCAAGGGCAGAGGGGAAGGAGACGGCTCTTCGGGAATGCGGCAGGGTAACTCCACGGGGCCGCCTCCGAGCCGCCCTGGCCCTTTCGGTCGCCTCCTCCTCGGCGCTGGCTGCGCCACGCGGAGCAACCCTTCCCTGCTGTTTGCATCGCGGATGGCTTCCGTCCTGTTTCCCAAGGCGGCAAACCTTGTACGCGCTTTCCCGGGAGTAAGTCCTCTTGCTCTCGAGGTGCTGACTCCCGAGTAGGCACGGCCAGCGAGGCGCTGCAGCCGCTTCCCATGGGCATTTCCCCACTTTGCTGATGCAATCCGGATCTTTCTTTCTTTCTTTCTTTCTTTCTTTCTTTCTTTCTTTCTTTCTTTCTAGCAGTCCTAGGGACTGCTAAGGAAACCTGCGGTTCCCTTATTCCAGGAGCTTCATTTTCCTTTTGCAATATCCGCGTGGCCCGTGTGTTTCAAAGTTTAGCTTAAGCGATCACAAGAAAATGCATTCCCAGTGAGATGCCAGGCGAAAATGGAAACAGTTAACAAGAACTTGCAAAGCAGATGCAGATTGTGTTTCTGCAAAAGAACACAGTCCAGCCTTTCCCAACCCTTCGGATCTGTTGCACTACAACTCCTATCAACCTTGGCCAGCCTAACACCAGTCTGGTGGAAGGCTGACAGGTGCAGCTCTTACTGGGGCACCTTTGGCAGGCTTCCTTGGGACCCGTTCAATTCCATTGGCGGCTGCATTTTAACTCTCCCACTGAAATCAAGGAGAGATGGAAATCTTTGCGTTTGCCTAGATCGTGCCTTAAAATTTAACAGTTGAGGGAAAACAGCGAGGGGAGGAAGAGAGGGGTGACCCAGAAGGAGAGAAAGAAACGGCCAGAGATGGCACTCCAAAAATTCAAAAGAGATTTGTCATCATCCAGGGAAACGAACCAACCACAACCATGAAAGGGCTCTAGCGATTGGGATTTGTGATGAAATATTTTTATTTTTAAAAACACACATACACAATCGAGATGAAGGTCAGTTCCTGCATATTTCAGGAATAAACCAGAGGAAGTAAGCGCTGAGGTCTGTCCCGTTGAATTGAGCGGGCTTCCCGTCCCGGGTCATCCCTTGGAGCAAACGCGTGGCGTGAGTCGCAGGTGATGCCTTCGAAATCTCCATCCCTTTAAGTGCAATTTTATTTCTGAGCGACACGATGGAGGATCGGGGCCGTGCACGACAAAGAGCTCATGTGGCCGGCCGCTAACTGGCTGCTGGAAAGAGACGGACCTGCCTCGGGCATTTTTGTGGATGAAGGTTGCAACCCTAGATACATTTACCTGGGCGTAACTCCCATGGAGGCCAATGGGTCTCCCGGGTGGTCACGCAGGTGAAACGCTCGACGGTGCCAGGGAGGCGCCGAAAGGCGGTTTCCAACCTTCGCGGTTTCGGCATCCCCGTACCTTTTTTTAAAAGCATCGCCCTCTTTTAGCTCTCCGTTCCGAACACTGACCGTTATTTTTAACAGAGGGAATAAAACCTAAGATCCCATTTTTGGCAAAAGATCTTTTTTTAAGAAAAAGCAAAAGAAAAGCAGCCCTGCGCTCGTTTAAAGGCCCTCTTATTTAATCTGAAATAGGGACTCGGGATGCATGTTCTTCTGCGTGTGTTGGGGAAGGGAACGCGGCTCTGGCCAAGGCTCCGATCCCCCCAGCCTCTACTCAGCGGGGTTACTTCTGAGTAAACCTGCTTCGGAGGACGCTGGGAGGGAGACCCAGTGGACACGATGGGCCTCCTTCTGCGTCGTGCCACGACTTCAGCTTGCCCCAAATGGGAAGGGATCGCCCTGACGCGCGGGGGATCTCTCTTCCTTTCGGCGAGGAGCCGCGAAAGCCGCCAGGCCTTCCACACACAACCACTCTCGGTTCCCGTAACTTTCCATCCTTTCTTCTGTCCCCTAACGGAGGGGGCGCGGGGGGGAGGGGCGCGGGGCGTAAGTGGCTTTGCCGTCGCTAAAAACCCACCCGAGAGCCGCTAGCGGAGCCCGATCTTCCTCC